AGTTATTCTGAAAAACCCATATCTACCCAATTTCGTATCCGAAATGTAAAAAAAAAAAAAATAAAAAGCAATTTCTAAAGAAAGGTTTCTTTTATTACCGCATTTAACGGTATATAAGACGCACGGGTGTATATGACGCACTCCAATTTCAGCAGGGCAAGTCAAGAATAAATTAGTAATTAGTAAAATTAGTAAACCTACATATGACAAATAAGACGCAGGGGAATATTAAAAAATATTTTTAGTACAGTGTAACCCGGATATAAGAGAGTTGTCGGGACCGGAGAAGAAGTCTCTTATATCCGGGTTTCTCTTATATCCGGGTTTGGTCTATTTTATTTAGGTAAGTATGGGAACACTTTGGGACCAGAGACAATCTCTCTTATATCCGGGTTTCTCTTATATCCGGGTCTCTTATATCCGGGTTACACTGCAAAAAAAAAAAAAAAAAAAAAAGTACGTCAAATGCAGTAATTCAAACGTTATTTTATAGTGAATATCTGTGTTTGAAATTGACGCTTCATTTTTACAATTTTTAAATAGTGTGTATTGTATCGGCTTGCACACTAGAGAATACTTAAAAAGAAAGTGCTCTGCGGCAAGTTTTAAAGCACACCAGATCAAACGGTGGTATCTCCTACAAAGGAGGAAGCTGGAGTTTACATAATAAATTTAACATATAAGCATATCGTGATATAAGTATATCATCAACTTGAACAGTTTTTCAATTTGTGCCTGGCGATGGCCACGTGCATGAAATTCAGTGTTTTACTAAACGGCGAGAAACAAATGTATATTTATTATTATTGTTATAATTATTATTATTATTATTAGTAGTAGTAGTAGTAGTAATAGTAATAGTAGTAGATTTACTTCTTTTAACAAAAAATATTGTCAATTAAAAATAACAGTGAAAATATTTTAAAGTTGTATTTCGAATTGTAGTTAAATAAAACGAATTCTAACCTAAACATCTTTTAAAATTGTAGTTAAATAAAACGTATTCTAACCTAAACACCTCTCTCAAAATACTACAAGCACTTAAAAGAATCTAATAAAACACCTACAGTAAAATGAAATTAATATGAAAAGCTAGAAGATGTAAGCCACTGAATGACCCATGTCCTTTGTATTTACATGAGAAACAGTATATTAGTAGGTTTATATCAAAAAATAAAATTTACTAAATCAGAGAAATTAATTAGCTATTTTTGCCGTCATTGTCATAAATTTTACTTAAATAATATTTAAATATAAATGTTTAAAAAATTGTGACCTAGTAATATACACACTTATACTTAATGTGAAAATAATTCTACATACTGTAAGTAATTCTAATACATTTACTTGTTCTAAAAAGAAATATAGTATATTAAAAATTAAAAGTGAAAATATTTTTCAAATCGTAAAACGTATTCTAACCTAAACACCCCCAAAATCTTTAAGTATACAAATAGAAAAAAAATGCCATAAGAATTTTTGCCGTTAACAATAATTTAAAAAAAAAATCCAGACAACATGCATTTCACGGATGTCAGAATTCATTGAAAAATACATCCCTACCCCTTACCAAAACGTAACTGATACATCAAAATACAGCGATAATGAACATGCAAACACCCCTTGTCTTGTTGAATTGGATTTATCTGTAACCTTGGAAACGTGAATTATGATTTTAGCTGTGTCTTTAAAACGTAGTAATTTTAAAAGTTACTTCAAAATTCGCTTGAGGATGAAATGGAACTAATGTCATTAACTTAATTACAAAATTAAATTCGAAGCTTTTAGCTTCTTTTTTTGAAACATGGTTAGAATTGTGTAGCGGAAAAACCATATTTTAAATCAATTAATTTATAATATATATGTATATATATATATATATATTAGGAAAAGAACAATGAGATTTATAATTCAGAGTTCTTAGCATTTATTTTTATTAAAAAAAAAAACAGTGCTCGATACAACAGTAGAGCATAATATTATAATTTTATTTTTAAATATATAATCATCGCAACACCGGAATTACCATGTTTCAAAACTGAAACTTCAATTCAAACTCAGTAATAAAAATTCAACTTAAAATAAAAAGTTCTTAACGATACTAAGAATAACTTTTTAGAAATTAATTTATAAGTCCAGACAAATTTGATATTTTGAGATGTGGGGTTAAGGAAAATTCCATTTTTATTTAAGATTTAACTTATTTAGAAAACTCATGTATTTAGATACACGTATTTTAGCTATCAAGTCGTTCAAGTTAAGGTGGGGGCTGGGGTATTTGTCTGTTGACACAAACTTGCTTTTTTCAAGCAGAAATTTGTGTCTTATGTTCCAACACATTCTTAGCATATCTTGATAATGAAAGGGAACTTTGTATTTTAATTTTAATTTGTATGATTGAATTTAAATTGAAGTTTCGACTTAGATCAGCGGAGATAGACACCAAGAGACCCCTGTAACGGAAGTAGAACAAGCAGAAAAGAATGTTATGTGAAAAAGAACCTTTGAACTAGACATTGAAAGAGTGGCAAAATGTATTGTGGACAGACATTTTGGCAGTGGGAATAAAGCCAGGAAAAAGACTGAATGATGAATGTGTAATTCAAACAGTTAAGCATAGTGCTGGGTTTGTTATGCTGTGATGGTGTTTTGTGAGAGAGATCGAATAGAATATCCAGACGGTGAGCGTGAGCTTTTTCAGTGTTTGAGGAATACTTCAGAAGGTCTCCTATTTACTTATTTTCAAAAACTGTTGGAGGAAAAAAATGCCAAGAATTTGTAAAGAAGTAATTAATGCAGGTTGTAGTTGGATTGACAAAAAGAAAATATATGTTGTTGCATAATTTCTTTTATGGTTAAGTGCTTATTTCTTGTCAAATAAAGGCAAATACACTATAGTTACTGAAATTTTATCTTTTACTTTTAAAATTTAAAAAAAAATATATTTTAAAGTGATTTTAAGGAAATACAGGGTGACCCTAAATTTTTGCCTGTAGTGTATATATATATATATGTGTGTGTGTGTGTGTATAATTAAGTTATGAAAAACTTGGTAATCGCAGGGAGGATGAAATCCTGAGAGCTCAATGTAAATCCAGAGCTAATATGTTAAAGAAAAACAGACAACTTTAAGGTACCATTATAATAATTTATTTCACCAGAGCCCTTTTAAAGGACGCCGGATCATCAGATAGCACTTGCAATTTGGAAGTGCTATCTGATGATCTGGCGTCCTTTAAAAGGGACTCTGTGAAATAAATTATTATAATGGTACCTTTAAAGTGGTCTGTTTTTCTTTTAATATATATATATATATATATATATATATATATATATGTGTGTGTGTGTGTGTGTGTGTGTGTGTGTGTGTGTGTGTGTGTGTGTGTGCGTATGTTTGTGAAAATGCAATACTTAATTTTCTTTTAGGAATTCCTAATCTGAGTGCATATTACCATTAGTAATATATATATATATATATATATATATATATATATATATATATATATATATATATATATATATATATATATATATATATATATAAAAATAAAAATTACAAATTTCAAAATTTTCATCATTTTTTTTTTTAGAAGTCACGACGGATGAACATAGCATACTTGTTTTGCTTATCCGTAGGGGAATGAATTTACAATGAATTTCCATAGCCGCCCCCAATAACGTCTTGCAATGTTTTGTAAAAATAAATAATTGATATTCGTAGAGAAAATTTTGAAAAAAAATGTTTATTTCTGTTCGCTTTGCCTATGCTTAAACTCCAACATACTCTCATATATATATATATATATATATATATATATATATATATATATATATATATATATATATATATATATGGAAAGCATATTTATATATATATGGGTAATTACATATTGCGTATGTACGAACAAAAATCATTGCTATACACGCATAATATACACTCGGATTAACACCGCTTCTCTTGCATCTGCAGACCCCATATACACATATTGCCGCAGGGAACCCAATGAGGCTTCTACTTCGCAATAATTAAAAAAAAATGGTTTAAAAATACCGATAAAACTAAAAATGAAAGTCAGTGAATCGGAGGACAATATTTATTGCTATTGTTAGCCAACAATCCCTAAGTCGAATTAGTGCGCATGGCTTCTTTTCTAATTTCCGTTAAAACAGTGGATGTCGCCATCTTGAATGGCTGATTAGTTTCTTTCGAAAGAGAAGTGGCTTGCCTCATAAGTTCCTCACTTCCGGTGACTGAATAGCCTTTTTTTAAACATCTATTTTCATTGTTTTTTTTTTTTTCTTTCTGATAGCCAGAAGCTGTTTATTCAGGGAGGGCGCCATATTGTGTATTTGTTGCTTTTATTCCTTTATGAAACCCCATTTTATCTATCCGAGAGAATTAAAAAGAGTCGAAAGCGGCTATTTTAACTGTCGACAAGTCCACCACTTTTAATAATCCCTTTATATCGACTTTTCTTTGCTATTTTCTTTAGGTTTCATTCCCGAATTTTGTTTTACTTTATTTTCCTATTTTCTTTTCTTTGCTTGCTTTCGATTTTGGCATCTTTATTTCTTATTATTTTTCTTTCCTTCCTTCCTCTCTTCCTCCCTTCCTTTCTTTTTTCTTTCTTTTTCTCATTTTTAACTTTTTCTTTCTTCGTCGTCCCTTGAAGTCATTCTTCTTTCCTCCCTTCTTTCAGTTTTTCTTTCTTCCTCCTTCCTTGAAGTCTTTCTTTCTTTTTATGTATCTTCTTTTGTAATTTTCTTTTTTCTCTCGTTCTTTGAAGTTTTTCATTTTTTTCTTTCTCGTCTCTTGAAATTGTCTTTTTTCTCTTTTGTCTTTTGTAGTTGCTTTTTTTCTCTCTTTTTCACTTTATTTAACCTTTTCTTTCTTCCTCGTCCCTAGAAGTCTTTCTTTCTTTCTTTTAACTTTTTCTTCCTTCCTCGTCACTTGAAGTCTTTATCTTTTTATCTTTTCTATTTTTTCACGTCCTTTAAAGTTTCTTTCTTTCTTTCTTTCTTTCTTTCTTTAGGTTCATGCTTCTTTCTTGCTTTCATTTTTAGATAACTTCTTTTTTCTTTCTTTTTTCTTGTTTTGTTTTTAACCTTCCTTTCTTTCTTTTTTCTGTCTTTCTTTCCTTCTTCCGGTTCTTTCTTTCTTTCTTTCTTTCTTTCTTTCTTTCTTTCTTATTCCCATGAACACTTTCTTTCATGACATTGAACATTTTTCTCTTTTTCTCATTTTTTGAGATTTCTTTTTTATTTCTTTCTCGTCTCTTGAAAATTTCTTTTTTTTTCTCTCTAAGTCGTTTGAAGTTTCTTTTTTCTCCTTTTTTGACATTTTCTTTTGTCTCTCTTGACTTTTGACGTTTCTTTCTTTTTTTCTTTCTTTTACGTCATCGTTTCCTTTCTATCTCATCTATTGAAATCTATGTATCTTTCCCTTTTTCTTCCTCATCCTGCTTAGTCTTTTTCCAATCCTTTCTCTGAACTTGTCTTTATTTCTACTCGAATTATCCGTCTCCACTTCGTGAATTGGACTCCGTGTTTCGTAGGTTGAATGCATTCTCCTTCATCATCATGGCCGACCAGTGTTTGTGCACACATCCCATAAACACAACGAAGAACAAAAATGCATACCAACAAACAATATTTTTTTTTATTAAGCTTGGATGAATAAAAATCAAGGCCACATTGGGTTGAGATTTACATAGGAAGATTGCGCTGCACCAGTCCTTGAAAAATGGCAGTCAAAATATTCAGCAGATCTTGAACACCGACCAGAGGTACAAGTAAAAAATATGTAATGCCTTTAGCATTCAGGGAGACGACTTGATGTTTATTAAACATAATTATTATAAACCCAATAAAATAAGTGACGTAAAGAAGCTTCTCTTGTGTCAGTTCTTCAAAAGGGAAAAGCGTGACTGGAATTTTTGACATTTCACATGGGCTTGAACCATTGGCATTGGGCTACAGGCCGAGAAAAATCCACTCCCGCAGCCTGACGCATAATATGTCCCCACTATTTAAAATTCAGAGATTTTTTCTTTTAGACTAATTCAACTCAAGGCTAGAGAACTCAATCCACATTGCTATTTAACCCATAGATGGGAGAGAAATGTGTGTTGATTGCATTGAGAAAACACTTTACCTTGGCCGTTGACTTCAGTCCAAGAAACCTTCCAGTGATACCCTGGCATTATCACTCTAGTTACATCCATAGCTATGAATCCCCTTCTACCTCATTGGGCTCGATAGCCGCTGACCCTACAAGAAGTTTAATCTTCCCTTTGGTAGGTCTTGTTTTTAATCCTGCTGAGTGTCAAGCCACCCTCCCCAATAAAACAGTATGGGGAGGGAACCGAGCATACGATAGGCAGTAATATCTTACATGGAACCAGTACTCATCGAATGACCTAACAATATATATATATATATATATATATATATATATATATATATATATATAAATCGACGATCTTTCTCGAACGATCATATCTGTTCACGAAACGTACCTTAACGCAAACATTGACAACATGTTATGAAATGAATTTAGTCTGACAATTATTTGACATAATTTATGTTTATACGTTATTTAAGGTCCGTTTCATGAATAGATATGATCTTTCGGAATGATCATCAAAAGTTTGTTGTTTCTAAACAGTAATTTTGACTTTGCTAACCAGACGCTTTTCCGTAGCTGAGTTGTATAGCACGTCAGATCAATTGACGGTTCCATATATATATATATATATATATATATATATATATGGTCGGTTTTTGATAATGAGACTCGGGTTCAAATCTTAGCATGGTCAGTTTGTCAGGGAAAATGACTTCCTTGTTGTATTATTTTTAAGGAACTAATGGATTTATTATTAATCTGACTATTTTCATTAATTCAAAAGATATTATAGTAGAAACTCGTATTTGAAATAAACGACCCATTTTTATTTTTTACTTTAAAGAATATGTATTACGCATGACCACTTGCACCTCCGATAAATCTTAATAAAGCAAATCCAGCAGGGATCGAATCTGCATCCCCCACAATTTGATTCGACGTGCTTTACCGCTTGGCCACGAAAACCTCACAGTTAAGCAAGGCTCTATGTTTCATTTATATGGAAAGCACATTCTCTTCACTAGGATTATTTATTTTTATCGAAAGACCGTGTTTTTACAGTGGTGTTCACCCTCTTCAAGGCCCGAGCGCCACTCGAGGTAGAGGGTTACTGAGTAAGAGGCACAGATTATGTGGATATGTGTAGAATATTGAACAGGTTAAGATTGTAGTGAAGAAACTGCTTGAGTGGAACTTACATCTCAGCAAGGGGAATAAAAATAGCATAATGTTGGTTCGCTACAATGTGTATGGCATGGCGAGTCTCAGCCGTGAACGTTAGGACTGGTGAAACTGAGGAGTGTAGTTCACCTGAACAACCGCCATGGATATAGCGATAGTGCAGCGAGAGGCTTGCGACGTCTGGTCTATGAGAAAGCAGGCGCCTTTGGACTTTAGCTTGAGTGGAAAGTGACAACTGAGCTGGCTACCTCCAATATATGGCAGTCGTAGTTTCCCAGTTTCGTAGCCGAAACCAAAAGAAAGCAACTTATAAACAAGGAATTTATGTTTAATCCGATATTTTTATTACTTCAAACGTCAAGTTTAGTGGATATCCGCATTTGAAAGAAACGTACTGTTTTATTTTAAACAATGTTTATTACGCCCATCGGTTTACGCATTCGAGAAATCTTAATGGAGAAAATGTGTTCTCTGATTCGCGTGTAACATCAAAATTGTCCAAATCGGGAAAAAAGCATATTTTTCCTTCCCACAAAATCTTTAATATCTAAAAAAAAACAAAAACAAAAAAAAAAAAACACTAAACTAATCGAGTATCTTTTTTTCCAGGTTTTCAGATAAAACGTTTAGCCATCTTGAAACCATTTGTCGTAAGTATCACTGAAAAAATCCATTGAGTTATTCAGCTAGAAAGAGAACAGGTCAAAACTGTTTAGTGTCGGCCCCACTATATCTTTCCAAGTGAGCAATGGTGAGAGGAAAACGTTCATTCAGGCTTTCAGTAATGGTACTAACATTCATACTCTGGCTTCCATCTTCAAAGTTCATTCAAGAACCATCAAGAGAACGGTGAATAAGTTTTAAAAAGAGGGAACGGTAGAGAGAAAAACTGGATCAGGAGGTCAGAACTGGGAGATGGATCATCATTTCAACTTAGAGCTAAAGAGAGAAATTAGAAAAGATCCAACCCAATCAATAATACGTTTTCACATGAGAGAGGAGTTTCAGCTATGACAGTTCAAAGAGCATTGAAAAAAGACTTTAAAATGAAATCGTACATGAAACGTGTGAAGCAACTTGCTATTCAGGACATAAAGTTAGATAGTTAGAGAGGGCGAAGATCATCTTGAATAAATTGGAAAATGATTCTGGAATATATATATATATATATATATATATATTTGAACTTAATTTCAGTCCTTCATGAGCTTCCGGTTCTTAGCTATGATTAATGTTTAACATGTCATTTTCGTTTATGATCGATTTTATCACGATTCGTCTGTTAAACTTGGAGAGTAATTATATATTTTTATTGTTCAAAATAATGTCCAATAGTGTTATAATTTTAGTAAATTGTCTTTAATCCTTTCTAAGATACAACGGTTCAAAGATGAACAATTATGCTCTTACACGATTTGGACCATTTTGCTGTTAAACCCTGTATACATGTATACATACATACATACATACATACATACACACACACACACAGATATATCAGGTCATCCTATAAGTTCTGTCCGAATTTTGAATAAAGAAAACAAGTGACCAAATGTTACATTTAATTACAGATTCAATCAACAATGTATTTTCCCTGATTATCTATGACTTCCTTCCATCTATTAACAAGCTTACTAATTCCATTACTGTAAAATTCTTTTGGCTTTGATTCGAAGAACTCACAAATGTCAGTTTTAACCTCTTCCTGTGTTACAAAATCTGTTTCTTCCAAAGGATTCTGTAAGCTACGAAACAAATGGTAGTCTGAAGGAGCAAGATAGGGAGAATAAGGTGGATGAGGAATTTTCTCCCAACCAAGTTCTTCGATCTTTTGTGATGTGATTCTTGCTGTGTGGGGTCGCGCATTGTCCTGATGAAACATCACCTCTTTTCGATTCACTAGAGCAGGTCTTTTTTTCCTCAAAGCTTGGTTCAAACGCTCTAATTGCTGACAGTATATTTGAGCATTAATTGTTGCATTAGGTGGTAAGAATTCAAAGTGGATTATTCCTTGGCAATCCCACCAGATTGAAAGAAAAACCTTTTGCCCATGAAGTTCCTTTCTCGGCTGTGGCTGGGGTCTTTCTCCTTTACCAAGCCACTGTCTACGACGCTTAACATTTCGATAAAAGATCCATTTTTCGTCGCCAGTCACAAGTCTATCTAAAAAAGGTGAAACACGTTGGCGAAAATGGAGAGAAGAGCAGATGTCAACTCGGAATTTGAGGTTGTTTTCAGACAATTCATGAGGCACCCATTTTCCAAGTTTAGGAACTTTTCAAAGTTGTTGAAGATGACGATGAACAAGTGTATGGTTTGAACTGAGAACCACTGCCAATTCCTCAACTGATAAAGCAGGATTTTCTTCAAGGGCTGCTTCGAGAAGCTTTTCATCAAACTCAACTGGATGTCCGGCTCAATTTTCATCTTCAAGGGTGAAATCTCCAGCTCTGAATATTGCAAACCATCTTCTGCAAGTTCTTTCATTCAGACATTCCTCTCCATAAACTGAGTGAATGTTTCTAGCCGCTTCGGCTGCTGAGTTTCCTTTCTCATAAAGCATTATGTGCATCAAATGATTCTTGGGTACTTCCATGTTAGCAGGGTTTCAATCAAACAAAATTTTATTTTATTGTTCTCTGAAATAAAATTTGATCAGTTTAAATGCATCTAAACATAAAGATAATGTTCAGCTCCATTAGACATTATAAAATACTCTTTAAATTTCGTTCATTTTAACAAAAAGTTAAAATTCGGACAGAACTTATGGGATGACCTGATATATATATATATATATATATATATATATATATAAAGGTTTACACTAAACATTACTCATTTACTTTGTTGACAGTGTAAAAGAAGAAAAAATTTGAATTTGAACTATGTCTTACTTGAGAATGTTAAGTTTGAGTACATATGCAATAGCGCAGAGGTTAATGTCTCTAATAGTAAGACGTAAGGAGAGCTGTTCAAAGACATCGTAAGACATTGTGCACCGATTTTCAGTTAACCTGTCTTGCGAAATGTGTGGCTCCTTCTACAGAAGCA